CTGACCTTACTAAATCAACTGCCAATGCAGTCGTAGAAAGGCCAAAGAGTAACTAGATTACTAAAGATGTGTGGAGAGAAAGGGAATTATGGTACTGAAACATTCTGGGAGCAAATAGCGAATGCTTTTCAGCAGAGAAATAGGCCAGCTAAGTCATTTAGTATACATAGAATGTCCTTCCATGACCTTTCTATACTAAGGACACAAATTAGCAAATTACATTTCTACTCACCGATTATATGAAATTGTGAAAGTTTGAGAGTTATTCCAGAGTTATCTCAGGAGAGGAAAGTGGAAGTCATCTGACACTGTCTGCGCCTCAAGTACGGCATAGGAGTATGAAGGGAAAGTCACTTGAATACATTCTTTTAATCTTGTTGAGTCTCAACAAACTTCTTTGACAAGTAATTAAAGATATGGGAGCAACCTTTTTTTAAAATAGGACATTCAGTTTTCCAGCATGTGTGGCTTTATGTTAATAAAGCAATAAGGGTACCCTGGTCATTTTGATATTTAAACTTAGTGAATTTACTACAGCAGTATTTCTTAAACTATGTGTTTTTTAAGTTTTATTGTTATGTTAATCACCATACATCACATCATTAGTTTTTGATGTAGTGTTCCATGATTCATTCTTTGCATATAACACCCAGTGCTCCATTCAATACGTGCCCTTTTTAATACCCATCACCAGGACAACCCATCCCCCCACCCCCTCCCCTCTAAAACCCTCAGTTTGTTTCTCAGAATCCATAGTCTTTCATGGTTCGTCTCCCCCTCCGATATCCCCCCCTTCATTCTTCCTTTCCTGCTAGCTTCTTCTTCTTCTTTTTTTAAACATATAATGTATTATTTGTTTCAGAGGTACAGGTCTGTGATTCAACAGTCTTACACAATTCACAGCACTCACCGTAGCACATACCCTCCCCAATGTCTATCACCCAGCCACCCCATCCCTCCCACTCCCCACCACTCCAGCAACCCTCAGTTTGTTTCCTGAGATTAAGAATTCCTCATCTCAGTGAGATCATATGATACATATCTTTCTCTGATTGACTTATTTCGCTTAGCATAATACCCTCTAGTTCCATCCACATCGTTGCAAATGGCAAGATTTCATCCTTTTGATGGCTGCATAATATTCCATTGTATGTATATATATATACACACACACACACACACACACACACACACACACACACACACATATACCACCTCTTCTTTATCCATTCATCTGTTGATGGACATCTTGGCTCTTTCCATAGTTTGGCTATTGTGGGCATTGCTGCTATAAACATCGGGGTGCATGCACCCCTTCAGATACCTGCATTTGTATCTTTGGGGTAAATACCCAGTAGTGCAATTGCTGGGTCATATGGTAGCTCTATTTTCAAGTTTTTGAAAATACTGTTTTCCAGAGTGGATGCACCAACTTGCATTCCCACCAACAGGGTAGGAGTGTTCCCCTTTCTCCTCATCCCCACCAACATCTGTCATTTCCTGACTTGTTAATTTTAGCCTTTCTGACTGGTGTGAGGTGGTATCTCATTGAGGTTTTGATTTGGATTTCCCCTGATGCTGAGGGATGTTGAGCACTTTTTCATGTGTCTATTGGCCATTTGGATGTCTTCTTTGGAAAAATGTCTGTTCATGTCTTCTGCCCATTTTTTGATTGGATCAGTTGTTCTTTGGGTGTTGAGTTTGATAAGTTCTTTATAGATTTTGGATACTAGCCCTTTATCTGATATATCATTTGCAAATATCTTCTCCCATTCTGTCAGTTGTCTTTTGGTTTTGTTGACTGTTTCCTTTGCTGTGCAAAAGCTTTTTATCTTGATGATGAAGTCCCAATATTCATTTTTGCCCTTGCTTCCCTTGCCTTCGGGGATGTGTCTAGGAAAAAGTTGTTGCATCTGAGGTCGAAGAGGTTGCTGCCTGTGTTCCGCTCAAGGATTTTGATGGACTCCTGTCTCATGTTTAGGTCTTTCAACCATTTGGAGTCTATTTTTGTGTGTGGTGTAAGGAAATGGTCCAGTTTCGTTCTTCTGCATGTGGCTGTCCAATTTTCCCAACACCATTTTTTGAAGAGACTGTCTTTTTTCCATTGGACATTCTTTCCTGCTTTGTTGAAGATTAGTTGACCATAGAGTTGTTTTATAGAAACTGCTCAGATAATTTAGGAAAATAATGCAGAAGCTATTGCTAATCCTCTTGTATGTTCACATTGTACATTAGAAAAGTGAAGACTTGGAGAAATGCTCTAATTAAGAATCCTATTTAACTCTGTTTGCAGTGGATACCTTTATTATTTTGTATTTTATGTGAGATTTTGCTTATTTTATAATACTTATTGACATGAACATCCCTAGGAAACAACAAATATAGCAATAATAAAGTATTTATGATAGGTTTTCAACCTTTGGACATAACTAATCTTTGTTAGGGTCAAATCATGAATCGTTCTGATGATTAATTTGAATGAATCAGCCCACAATCAAAATAGCATTGCAATTTATTGTACAAGAAAAGAGCATGTAGCTTTTATTTTATTTTTTATTTTTTTAAATATTTATTTATTTATTTGACAGAGAGAGACAGCGGGAGAGGGAACACAAGCAGGGGCAGTGGGAGAGGGAGAAGCAGGCTTCCTGTGGAGCAGGGAACCCGACGCGGGGCTCGATCCCAGGACCCTGGGATCATGACCTGAGCTGAAGGCAGACGCTTAATGACTGAGCCACCCAGGTGCCCCAGAGCATGTAGCTTTTAACAGCCTCCCAAATTGGAAATATAGTAACAGAATTGGGTACTAGTAAAAAGGATTCAAGCCACTGTTAAGGATTACCAGACTCGATATGGCCCACTATGTAGTCACAAGATACATGCATATAATTTATGTAAATTTGAATTATATATTAAAAGCAAAAAAACCCACTATTTTTTCCTCATTATATCTCTTCACCTTCATCCATCTTCAACTAGACCCCAATTTAGAAAAAGGGAAGTCAATGTAGCAATCAAAGAAAAACCAAAGACATGAACTCGAGGCCTTTAGTGGGGACTCTGTCCTGAAAAATTCCAAGGTGTCCCTTTCAGAGTCTTCAAGAGTTGCGCAGTGTACAAGTTGTATGGCCACGCTGAATGTCTCTGACTTTTGTGTTTCTAAAGACCCAGGGCCTGGTTATTTAAAGGTAACTTAAAGATTTTTATGGGTAATTTTGATTATTAGAGATTTTTGTTTTACCTTATCCACTAACCTTACAGCCTAACTCCCATTCTCATATATTTTTAACAGAACAATACCAGAGTTATATAGCATGCATACTCCATTCTGCTTCATAATGGAGGAATTTTTATTTCATGTGGTTTCATCATATGTTTTCATATACTAATGGTTTCCAGTTAAAGCTGAAATAGTTCAAATATGAATGGTAAATACTATTATGATGAAGTATTCCAAATATGAATGTTAAAACTATGGATCTAGTTAAGTCTCTATGGATTCTTCCATTCTTTAATTTTATAAAAAATTAAAAACAAAGTAAATGAAATTTGGATTAATCTTCAATATTCTAATAAAAATAATTCAATGATTCATTTCTAATGGGAATATTTTTCATTACTTAGAAAATAGATTTGACTCAAATACTGAACATAAAAAGGTTACTGCTCTACTATTTAATATAAACTCTAGACCTAATAATTTTTAAATGATGTATTTATTATCCCAGAGGGCTAATAACATGCTTATAAAAGCACTTTTACTACCAAGTATTTTGTAAAACCATATAAAATATTTTTAACAATTTTCATATATCTCTATAAGGAGAACAATATAATTTATTGCCAGAATCAGTTAAATACACAGTTCTTAGTTAATTTTACTATAACTTCTAAGGTTACTTCCATGTTTATTCTGTCTTTAGCTTACATAAAACTATTCTGTATATGTATGTACATATACACACATACATATATTTATGTATGTATTTGTATCTGAATATGCACACACCTGCTAGCCTTTCCAAAATAATACCTTTATATTATTTTTATATTAAAAGTACAAAAATATGGGGCTCCTGGGTGGCTCAGTTGGCTAAGTGTCTGACTCTTGATTTCAGCTCAGGTCATGATCTCAGGGTTGTGAGATCGATACCACGTCATGCTCTGTGCTGGGCGTGGAACCTGCTTAGGATTCTCTCTTTCCTTCTGCCCCTCTCCCCCCCACCCCTCTCAAAAAAAAACTACAAAAAATATCCCCAACTGCAATGCCCTTTGCATTAGATATTAGGAGCAAAAATACAGATGTCTGTATCACTCACTTTAAGATCCATCAATGCTGGGTTCCTTTTTCTTGTTAACCCAACCTTGCATTGATTTTGCTTTGTTTAATGCCATATTAATATCTGTGCTTCGGGCTGTCGTATTACCCTAGGCTTGGATGTATGTAAATCTTATTCATGCAACTGAGGTCTGTAACAGCAGAAATTATTTTTTAGTAAATAATAAATTCTTGTTGAATGTTTGAGAATAAATAAATAGAGGCTTGACCAATGAATTCACTGAAAAGGAGAAGGGACTATCATAGCAAATATAAAAAAGGCAAAAGGGTAAGGATTCAGGGGCAGGTTAGAAAGTCTAAGAGTAAAGAGCCTGTGGCTACTTACCGTCCTTTGGGGATGAGGACTGGGCTATTCCTCAGGTTTGAAAACACAATTTTATGCAAGAGGAAAAAGTAAACAGCAGTTTGCAAGATGTGGGTTTTCTCAAGATACATCTAGTATAAAACCCAGTTAGTGGCAAAAAGCGGAAAAAGGCAAACTGATAAGTGAAACTGACCAGATAAAAACAGCTGATTTGAATATAATGGAAAAATTAGAGATTTTTTTTTAATGGAGTATGAAAACATTAGAGGTAAGGATATTGAAAAAGGGAAAAAAGGAAGTTGGGTATTTTTTGCTTTATCTAACTTTTAAATGGTCTTCATGGGTTTTTTCTTGTAGAATGCCAGAATCCCCTGGTGAAGTTCTGGAATATCCTCTGTTTGTCACAGTCGGTGACTGGCTGGATTCTATAAAAATGGGGCAATATAAGAATAACTTCATGGCAGCAGGGTTTACAACTTTTGACCTAATTTCAAGAATGAACATTGAGTAAGTGGTCCTAGGTTTATTATTGTGTTTAGCAGTCCACTCAGGAGATTACAAATTCAAATACTGGATCAAGAACACCATGATTCAACTACATTTCCTAACGCTAGTATGGCATTTCCACATCTTTCCTCACCATTTCTGATTATCATTCCAGTGGAAGTTGGACATTACACTTTTAACTATTTTCCTTTGGAAGAGTATGTTTAATTCAAATAGCTATTTTAAAAATTTGTTAATGCTTTCTGAAATGCATATTACTCTCATTCACATCCTAGACTTTACATCAGCACAGTTTACCTAGGCAAATTTCTTATGACTCACATATACTAATCTTGCATAATCAATTCCTATTACTTTCATCAAATGTAATAATTGTAATCGTACATTATCATCATGTAATTTCAGAACTCCTTCTCTATATTATTAAAGTTGGGCATTTTTCCATTGTCTCAAAAATTATTCCCTGCCTGGGTGCAGTAAATTGTTCAACATGTGCTTAAAAGGTAGATACTAAAACTAGTTGGTTGAATCATATGAAATTCCCATTATTTTGAAATAGTGATGGCAATTTCATATAGTTCAACATAATACGGCATTTTTTTTTCAGATTATTGAATGACCATAGGTCCACATTATACCTTCTACCCTATATATTATTTTGCTAATACTGTTGAAAAGTTATATCATTATCTAAATTGTATACCTGGGGCAGCTAGGAGGCTCAGTTGGTTAAGCACCTAGCTCTTGATTTCGGCTCAGGTCACAATCTCAGCGTCGTGAGATTGAGCCCCACGGCAGGCTCTGTGCTCAGTGAGGAGACTGCTTGAGATTCTCTCCCTCTCCCTCCTCTCTCTTTCTCTGTCTCTCTAAAAAAATAAGTCTTTTTAAAAATTGCATACCCTTTAGGTCTATGGAATGTCTGAACATTATGTTAGTACCTGAATTTGAAATTTTTCTTTGTATCCTTAAATTTGAGGTAGACTTGATACATTATCTGGCACCAGGGAGAAGAAAAATGTAACAAAGTCTTGATGTTCACTTATATCTCTGCTTAAACTCTCATTTTACCAGCTATACAATTTTTGTTAAATTCATAAAGCAAATCTGACATGGTACATACTTACCTTATGTAAATCTTCATTTCCTATCTCCTGTACTTACCAGATCTAAATGTCTCTCTTCCCCCCACCCTCAACTCTATCTCCTTTTCTCTCTCACAGTGATATTAGAAGAATTGGAGTCCTACTCATTGGACACCAGAGACGGATAGTCAGCAGTATACAGACTTTACGTTTACACATGATGCACATACAGGAGAAAGGATTTCATGTATGAAAGTACTACAAGCACTTGTGTTTTGTGCCTCAGCATTTCTAAAATGAAAGATATCCTCTCTACTACCCTCTCTTCTGATTCTCCAACATCACTTCACAAACTGCAGTCTCCTGTTCAGACTACGGGCACGCACCTTTTGTTTATGCTTCCAACCTGGATTTTAAAATTATGCCTCATAGCTCCTCTCTGAATAACCTGCAAATAAAACCCCGGCCCACTGCAGATTATCACTACACAATGGTAAATAACTCAGCATGGATTTGTAACTTTGTACAACAGTATTTGGGAAGTGTTTACGAACTTAACCCAAAGGAATTTGCCCACATGCGGCTTCCCTAGTGATGTATTTAGACTTCGATGGTAGATGAAAAAGAAATAGTTGACCTTTCTTTCATGTTTTGTGATCAAGTAGCTTCCAAACTGACATGAATATTTTTAGATAATTATATTCAACTCTGTGGATCATATTGTTACTTTATTTAACTGTTGATGCCTGGTGTTGTTAGAATTATTTGCAGAAATAACCAATGATGTCATTTGATGAATTCTTGTCAGGTGTGACTGCACTAAGAAGGGGGTTATCAGGGAGGGAGAGGGAGAAACATACTGTGTTTTTCAATCTTCTAAGTCTGGGTTTGTCTCTTTTTTTAAATTAACTTTATAGTGTCCTACATATTTCATAGTAGGTGGTAGTTTAGAGGCTTTTCCCTTCTAAGTTTTACTAACTATAATATATTTCTCTCCTACCTTATGAAGATCACCGCAGAAAGACCAAGAGTGGGTCCAGTGTTCTAAAGGCTTTCATCGAGTGAAGCATGAAATAAAAACCATGTCTATTCCCTTGGTTCACTTTCACAAGTTTGCAAAAGCAGTTATCAAAGCACTGAGAAAATCAGTTATTTTCAGTAGAATTGCTTCAAATAAAAGATCTAAGATTATCACCTTAGATTTAATGTAAAAAGAGTAATTAATTTAATTTAAACACAAATTTATGATAGCTATATGGTGCCCAAAAAAATAAACACATCTAACTGACTGTCTGATATTGGTGCATTTTGCAAGTTTAAGAATCTTTATATTTTTTTCCTAAAAAATAAGTTACATGAACATGCTGAGCTGTTTTCCAAACCTTTCAAGAGACAAGTATGCCACTGCATGTTCCAAAGAGGATATGAACAGACCTAACACATGAGCATATATATATATATATATATATATACATATATATATATATATATATATATATAAATTGTGTGTCAACCTGGGCCCATAACACAATAACATAAAAATGTGAACACAGCTAAAAAGTGTGTTGTTATAATTGTCTCAGAGGCTGCAAAAAAAGGCAAATATATTTTTCAGTGAATTAAGCTGAGTCAATTTATCAAAACAGTGCTGCTTTATGAGTAAGTTCAATTGTAAAATCAGCTGTTGTCTGTGAAAGTATAGAATGGCTCTTGTGCTGGGTTTGGAAGAGTAGGGAGGATGTGTTGAGAAAGAGAGATTTTAAAAAGAGCAGGTTGTCTAAAGATGATTATTTAATAAATCAGTTTTTCTTTGATCCAAGACATAAAGGTGCCCAACCCACATTCTCCAGTTCCTACCTAAATTTTTGGTAATAGCAGCTGTCTTGTTATTAAGGGAGACTCTCTTTTATTTTAAGATTTGTTGATTGTCCCATTAGACTAGACCCTTCCACATACATTCTTCTGCTGATTTATCTCCTGATTTTTGTCTATCACAGCTTAATTTTTCTCGTTTCAAAAAAAATTGTATTGAGCTAGAAGGACGAGTCTTTTAAATATTCCTTAAAGTATACTAAAAAAGAAAAAACTGAGAAATTTATCACTTTTTAAGTAAGTGTGTCAGAAATGCTAGCAACAATTTCTAGGCACCACATGCATGGTCATGCATCACTCATACACTGTCTGCAGTTTGCTTGATACATTTACACAAACCTGGATACATGTAGAGGAAATACAAAATTTCCATACTTACCTGTCTTCAAATATATATTAAATAAGAACAGAATGTAAAACAGATTAAATTTATTAATCATATATTTATTTTTATAATACAACAAAAAAGTATTTAGAAAAATAAGGAATAGAATAATTATGGTCTTCCATAGGACTCTGTCAGCAACATCTGTATACTTTGATGAAATAAATTCTATAAAGTATTTAAATTTCTATGAGATGGGCATTCAGTACGTGCAAGATTAAAGTTCACTGTTAAGAATTTTTTTCTTAAAAAAGTACAGAGATCTTTTTCTATATCTGATTAATTTATTTCTTTTTTTCTTCCCTAACATCTTCCTCTAGTATTATAAAACTGCCTTTCCCCTTCATCTCTTACCCCAAATGCTCTTTAAAATTTCTTTAGAATCATATTTATATTTTTCAGAACTGTAAGCATGATAATCTTATGTGATTTTGAACTTCATCATGGTCAGAAATGTTGCGTTCACACATGGCTGAAATATTTGTGCACAATTAAACAGAAACATTAAAAAATTAAGGATATATATTTCTTAATCACCTACCAATCACAGATCCCTGATCCCAAGGATGTTATAAGATCCAGGAATATTAACAGTTAAATTGCCAAATTTATTTGGAAATTTCACATGAAATATTTTGAGATTTACACATATTTAGTAATTAAAACTGTTTAATATGCATAAGTATAGAACTTAATTATAGAAAGAAAATTAGTAACTTACATAAATCACAGCCTTCAGTAATGATTTTTGATAACTTCAATATGCATATACATTCATGTACCTGCTTTATTTTAAATTTTCTAATCTATACTACTGAGGAGCTTTTTGGATTTTGTAGATCAGACAGTTGAAGAAACCATTTTCATTTTATTTCCTGGGTGGCCAGTTTCCAGTCTATAATCAACTCATTATCCCATAGTATAAGGCATATTTGGGGAAAAAATGTAAAAACAATGCACAATCAAGAAGCGAGATTAGGTATGTAAATCATTAAAAAAGCAATCAGAAATTGCAAAGCTCTTGGCTTAAGAATCAAAAATTACAGCACTTTTGCACTGAGTTATCTTATAGCCATTGATAAATAAGTTATGCATGCCATAATAGAAAAAGATCTGTATACTTTAATACTCTGCATTACTCTTTAAAATCTATCCAGTTTTATCACCAAATAAAACAGCCTTTTTTTTTAACAGCCTTTTAACTACAGTTCTAAGACCTATCTTAGCCCTCAAAGGGAAAACAAATCGAAATTCAATTCTTGAAAAGCAAAGTCTTTACAGAAATTCTTCTGAAGAGGTGGTGAAGAATTCATTTCAACCACATGGCTTAAAAAAATCCATTTTTTATATCTTTCCCTACCAAATTTCTACTTTATAAATCATTATCCCAAAATTTTCACCAACATTAGGTTTCTTTTTTCTGTTCTTTCATTAAATTTTCTAAAATTTCCTCCCTCAGCTCCCTCTGTTCTTCTCTCTTTATTCCTCCATCCCATCTCTTTTCTTTTCTCAGCTTCTACCACTCCACCCTGATCCTTAACGGCAAAAGAAAGCACAGAAAATCCAAAAAAGATCTTACTACTCTCCTTAGAAGAGGCTGAAGATGGAGGGAAGGGAATGTTGCAAAAGTCATACATTAGTATTTTGGGTCCCACCACATAAATGGGAACATTTGCACTCACAGAGAGGGAATGAACTTTGGTTTTTATTAACTGGAAATTAAGTGCTTTGGAAAGTAATTTCAAAATGGATGATGATGATCCTTTTCTATAGCTTCAGATAAGGAAATTTATTATTAAAAATTTTGTATTTTAAGAATCAAAAACTGTTATCAATTCACAGTTGGTGTACATGTGTTTATGTAACAGTGACTAGAAGCAAATATATCACATCTTCTACTATTATCACCTTAACTTTTCCAAGATCAGATTCCATTTAGTAGAAAAGACTCATAACACTTCATGTTCAATCCAAAAATATTTTGATGCTTTTTATATGAAGACTCCAAAAGGTAGAGGAGTACACTGAGTCAATTTGATGTTATTCTTTCATTAGGACACCAGGCACTGAAGTCACCTAACTTCGGTTTTTATGCTCAACATTTTCAGCAACTTTCAATCTTTATAATGTTCAGTAAAGAGAGTATAAACTTTATTTAGTTCAATTTAACAAATTATCTATGAAGTGTCTCCTACACACATGAGATTTTTATGGCACAGATGAGTTTGGCTGTTCTGTCCTTACCTTCAAAACAACTCTTAAGCTTAAAACTTAGAGGTTGGAGCCTATTTGCTATGTTTGCTTGCTGTGATTGCCAAGAGCTAAGGGCCAGCTCTTTCCATAGAACAAAAATATATTAAATAAATTAATAAAGCCTTGTCCAGTGTGAATTGGGTTTGCAGTCTTTATGGAGAGAAATTTATTTTGTACTTCAAATTCTCATACAACACCCCACACTTCCCCTAGGAGAGAAGAGCATGCTTGCAGGATTCTCCTAAGACAATCTCCGTAGGAATCACAGATTTTTCTTGCCCAGTGGCAAACTTTTCAGTTCATGTGTAGATTCACTACCTCAAAGGTGCCTCCAATTAGAAAACATTAGCCTTTTTTCAAAACAACTCTGAAGTCATCTCTTGCCCAAGCCAATTCACTGGTCTTAGTATACGTAATAATAATTATGAACCTGCAATAGTTGCATAAAATTCTTTCAAACATGATACATTTAACAAGGGAAAGAGATGATTACTCATGCCTAGATCTAACATATTACTAAACGAAATAAAGGAAAGGAAAAATCTTAAGTTGCAGAGACATAAATACCCCTCTTCTGTTTCCTTAAAAAACAAAATATTAGGCAGGTATTTCAAAGATTTCACAGGATAAAAATAAATTTTGTATGTTATAGGGGATGTGACATTTCCAGGGGAAAAAGGTCAACAGATCCAGAAGACACAGGTCATCAAAATATAACTTTAATCCTCTTTCTTCTAATAATT